GCGAGGAAGGAGAGACGGGCGAGGAAGGAGAGACGGGCGAGGAAGGGAGTGGCATCTTTGATTAGGGTCAACATTACTGTTGTACAGAGGATATTCCTGAGGGATCATCCAATGAAGTTACATGGGTGGAACTGAGAAGTAAGGGAACAAACACCTTAAAATGGCATTGTACTACAGGCCCCCTAGCAGTAAGTGGGAAATTGAGGAGCAAAAAAAAAAAAAGTAGGGAGTTGTCAAATATCTGCAAAAACAATAGGGTTATAATGGGTAGGGGATTTTAAACTTTCCAGACTGAAACTGCCATAGTGTAAAAGGCTTGGATGGGGAGGAATTTGCTAAGTGTGTTCAAGAAAATTTTCTTATTAAATATGTGGATGTACCTACGAGAGAAGGAGCAAAAAAAAACTCAACCCTCTCTTGGGAAATAAGGCAGGGCAAGTGACTGAGGTGTTAGTGGGGGAGCACTTTGGGACCAGTGATCATAATTTTATTCAGAGATAGTAGGAACTGCAGATGCTGGAGAATCTGAGATAACAAGGTGTAGAGCTGGATGAACACAGCAGGTCAAGCAGAATCAGCACCAAGCCTTCCTGCTCCTCTGATGCTGCTTGGCCTGCTGTGTTCATCCAGCTCTACACCTTGTTATCATAACTTTATTACTTTCAACATAATGATGGAGGATGGTAAACTGGATCTAAAAGTTAAGTCCTAAATTGGAGTAGGCCAATTTTGATGGTATCAGACAGACTAGATGGTAACAGAAAGGTGGTGATAGAGGGTTGTTATTCAGACTGGAGGCCTGTGACCAGCCGTGTGCCACAAGGATCGGTTCTGGGTCCACTGTTTTGTCATTTACACCAACGATTTGGATGAGAATATAGGAAGTATGGTTACTAAGTTTGTGGATGACACCAAATTGAGTGGACAATGAAGAAAGTTATCTAAGAGTACAATGAGAAGTTGATCGGATGGGCCAATGGGCTGAGAATTGGCAGCTGGAATTTAATTTAGATAACCGAGGTGAGCAAGACAGTTAAATGGTAGGGCCCTGGGGAATGTTGTTGACCAGAAGGACCTAGATGTACAGATTCATAGTTCCTTAAAAGTGGCAGCACATGTAGACTTTCATTGGTCAGAGCATTGAGTGTCGGAGTTGGGACATCATGTTATGGCTGTACGAGTCATTGCTGCAGCCACTTTTAGAATACTGCATAAGTCTGGTCTCCCTGCCAAAGGGAGGAGTTTGTTAAACTAGTAAAGGGTACAGAAAAAAAAAAATTACAAAAAAAGGATGCTGCGGGACTGGAGTGTTTGAGTTACAAGGGGAGGCTGGGACTGACTTCCCTGGAATGTCAGAGGCTGAAGGGTGACCTTATAGAGGTTTATAAAATGAGGGGCATAAATAAGGTCTTTTTCCAAGGGTAGGGGAATCCAAAACCACAGGGCATAGATTTAAGATAAGAGGGGAAAGATTAATAAGGTCTTGAGGGGCAAATTTTTCCAGAGGGTTGTGTGTGTAAGGAATGAGCTACTAGAGGAAGTGGTGAAAGCTGGTACGATTATATTTACATCATTTAACAGACATTTGGATAGGCAAAATGAATAGGAAAGGTTTAGAGTGATATGGACCAAATGCAGGCAAATTGGACTAGTTCAGTTTAGGATGGTCAGCATGAACGAGTTGGACCAAAGAATGTATTTCCGTACTTTATGGATCGAGGTCATAAAAGTTAAGTGTTTGGGGAACTCTTCAAATCTGGGGTAACAGTTATAAAAGCACAATTTTTTGTCATATTTTGACTGTACCAACCTCCATTAATCATCCTTTGCTTTGGAGACTGTACCCCAGCGGAGTTTTTGGAGTTCCTGTCCAGGTGTCCAAAACTCCTGCAACAGAAAGTTGAAATCGCTCCATATTGAGCAAACTCCACTAAGGAACATGGAAGTATATTTAGAAAAAAAAAAACCTCAGAACCCTTGACACCAACTGCATCGGGAAGCTGCAAATGTCAAGCTCTTGTTACACCATCTCCCATCCCACACCTGTTCACTAGATCTACCAATCCTTCCAATGTTACTAATGCTGCAGCTTCACTTTGCCCTTCCTCCAGCTCACTCCCGTCATATCCTTCCTCATCCACTTCCAGCACTCTCCCTGGACTCCATCCCAGCTTCAGCATTCCCCAAGTTTTTGCTCCCCCACCCCCTTCATCCTCTTACCCCAAGCTCTCCCAGTAGCAATACCTACAATCTGTCAGTTAGAGCCGATTCAGACTCAAGCGTGCTCTGAATTTCCAGTAAAACGCCTGGGGAAAGAAAGAAAAGTTGTAAAGTTATACAGTTAAAACAAGATTAAAATGATGCACCAACTCAAATACTGGAGTATGCTCTGACATCCCCACCCATACTCCAGAGAAACACAAAACAGGCCATAAGCACCAATATAGAAACATTCTGCAAAGTCTGAAAAAAAGAGGTGACTGTACTTACTCTCATCATTAAGCAGTGCATGCTCCATGATCTCTGCCATTTTCCTTCCTAAGAAATTATAGATCAATTAACAAAGCACAAATGAAACGAGATTTGTTTATCAATCAATATTTCAACATTCATTGCACCATTACAATGTGATAAATGTGTACTTAGAGAAAAAATTTCAGTAAAACTACTTGAATACGAAGTTGCACCCTTCTCTTTTTATTTAAGAGGATTTCTCATGAACAAACCAAATAATTCCTGAGCTCAGCATTGTTCAATATTCCAGGGAAATTACGCAAGTCAGTAACAGGTAGCAAGGACAGGCAGAGAGTATGTGCAAGTATGAGTGTAAGAACTACTGATGTTAAGATTGATACACATTACAGTCAATTTGCTACCAGTTGAGCTATCAGGAAGGTATTCTCCCCATCATCTACAGTTTGTCTTCAGACATTTTCACTCCTGCACATAACTCGGTCCAGATCAAACTGATCAAGTCAACTTATCAGACTGACTTACCATCACCCTCACTCAATCCAGATGGCAGCTGCTGTGAATGCTCCGATTCCCTGTGATTCAATATCAATCAATATTGTGTTTAAAACAAAAAAAAGTGATGGCGTCTCAAATATTACTGACAAATTCAACAGGAGTGACTGCAAATGAACTAAACACATTAGCACATGGGCAGGAGAACTGCAGATGTTGGAGTCAGAGTCACAGTGTGGAGCTGGAGCAACACAGCAGGTCAGGCAGCAGAGGAATAGGAAAGTTAACGTTTTGGGTCGGGAACCTTCTTCAGAACTGGGGATGGGGAAAGGGAGCTAGGAAATAAATAGAGGGAGGATGGGTGGGGCTGGGGAAAGTTAGGTGGAGTGGTGATAGGTGGATGCAAGTAGGGGGTAGTGGGGGTTGGTCAGTGGGAAGGGTGGGGGAAGATGAAGATGATGGACAGGTTGTGCCAGGTCAAGGAGACAGGGATGAGAGGGAGGTTTGGATATGGGATGAGGCCGGGGTTGGGGAGATTTTAAAACTGGTGAATTCTACATTCAGGCCATCATGCTTTCGGCTCCCGAGGCAGATTATGAGGACCTGCTCCTCCAATTTGCGTGTGGTGTCATCGTGGGAGTGGAGGCAGCCCAGGATGGCCATGTCACCCAGGGTGTAGGAGGGGTGAGTTAAAATGGTTTGCAACTGGAAGAAGGTATTGTCGATTATCATGTCCTGAGCACCAGATGCTCCACAAAATGGCCCTCGAGTCTGCGCTTGGTCTCATTGATGTAGAGGAGGCCATATTGGCAGTGGCAGATACAGTAGACCAGGTTGGAGAATGTACAGGTGAACCCCTGTCAGATAGGAAAGTTTGCTTAGAGCCTTGGATGGAGGAGAGTGGGGAGGTGTAGCACTTCCTGCAGTTACAGGAAAGGTGCCTTGTGTGATGAGGTTAGTGGGGAGTGTGGAGCGTGGAGTGGAGGAGGGAGTCATGGAAAGAGTGGTCCCTATGAAAGGTGGACAGGGGTGGGGAGGGAAATATTTCTTTGGTCATGGGGTCAGATTGTAGGTGGCGGAAGTGGCAGAGGATGATATGCTGGATGCGGAGGTTGGTGGGGTGTTTGTGAGGACCAGGGGAACGCTGTCCTTACTGTTGTTTGGGGGAGGGGGGTTGAGGGTAGAAGTGTGAGAAATGCAAGAGATGCGGTTGAGAGCATTTTTTGATCACGGGGCGGCCCGGGTGGGGTGGTGGTGAGGAAGAGTTGCTGTCCTTGAAATAGGGGGACACCTGGTATGTCGAGGAGTGGAACACTCCATCTTTGGAGTGGATGCGGTGGAGGCAGAGGAACTGGATGTACGGCATTGCATTCTTGCACGAGGGTCAGAGAGAGGTGGTGTAGTCTAGGGTAGCTATGGGAGTCGGTGGGTTTGAAATAGATGTCAGGTGTTGGGCAGCTACCAGAGATGGACAGAAGTTACTTGGCTCAGGTGATACAAGTTCCTGCATTTTCAAGCACAATGTAAAGGAACTTAACATTTAAACATTATTTAATGTCTTCAACATCCATCAAGTTCAAAAGCCAACTGTTCTGAAATATCAGTAGTTAATTTCATCACCTCTGTGCAGGCCTGACTTGCATACTTTCTAAGTATTGGTTATAAACAAGTCCCATCCAGGAGTAAAATAGGCTGAGCTATGCCTGTGTGAAAAAGGATCCCATTGGTGCAAACATTCACATTGCTTCAAAGAGTGAACAGACTAGATCCCTCAGTCAGCAGCATAACTGCAAGCTTAAGATGAAAAACCAAGCTATTTAACAAATAGCCTCTGGTCATCGTCCTGAAAGCAAGGAATATGGGAAAACTAATTAAACCTTTGAGCCTGTTCCTCCATTCAGTGAAATAATGGCAGATTTACACCATAACTCTACATAGCTGTCTTCATATCCCTTAGTCCCTTTCAGTTAACAAAAATCTATCCTCCTCACATTTAAAATTAACAACCAGTCTACCATCAATTGTTGGATGTAGCCTCCTGGAAGAGGATAATCATTGAACATCCGGGCCAGTGGTATTAAGCAAATTGCAAGTCCCTGACGATCAACTGCTGATTTAAAACAGTCAGCAGTACGAATGGTTGGATAGCATTCGTTAAACTTACTTGGAGTTGGCTTTCATGACCACTCCATCTTGCGCTGCTTTTTGATGGGAAGCCCTGGTTCCAACTCCTTCATCAATATCAATAACACATCTTGGTTCCACCACCCACTTTGATGAAACAGAGAACCTCTCAAATTCTGAAGGAGAGATGAGGTAAAACCCTGAAAAAGTAAAAACAGACATTGCAGGATTAGCAAGTAGTATTTTGGTTCACGTGAAGGTATTTCCAAGCATTGGGTGCAAAGTCTTTTGGACCCTCTCAGACAGTTGGGATGGAACCACGAGCAGTAGGCAGGAAGATGGAGGAGACAGCCTTATAATTTAGGGCAGAAGTAGGGGGTTGAACACAAAGAATTGTCATTTTATGGAACAAGAATTAAATATAGGAGAGATCAAGAACTTCTCATTTTAAATTAATTCACATCCTCATGATTCACACAGTAGTTCATGCTTGGCTGAGGTGCTGCACTTTGTTATAAGGTTGCTCTAAAGCAGCTTTCTTGGAAGCACATTTTCCAATTTCTGCAGGTTTACCAATGGGTGGATTAATTTCTTCACAGAATCTCAAAACTGTTACATCATAGGTGGTAGCCATTTGGCCCATCGTGTTTGTACAGTTCTTCAAATAAGCATTACTTAGTGCCAAATCCCTGCATTTTTCTTTGTCCAAACAAACACAGTCATTCAACACTCCGAATGCCACAATTGAACCTACTGTCACCACATTTCCAGGTAGTGCCCCCACACACTAACTTCATCACACTTGCAAATCATTTTAAATCTGCCCCCTCTGGTTCTCGAACTTTTTATTAGCAGGAATAGTGTATCCCTAGCTATGCTGTCAAGCCCACTTAAAGTTGAGGACTTCTATCAGAGTTCTTAGCCTTCTTCTTTCGAAGGGGAAAATGGTCCAACTTATTTGATTTATCCCTCGAATTATTTTTGTAAATTACTCCTATGCACACACTCTAATGCATTCATGTCCTTCCTGTAAGTGTGACACTCAGAACTGTACACAATACCGTAGCTGTGATGTGACAAGCATCCTGTACTTGGTGCTGATTTGCAAGTCATGCAACAAGAAACACCTACCTTGCCCAGACTTTGTGAAGACGCAGGACGCAATTCCACTGACGTCTTCCTTCCTGATGCACTCATACCGAACCTGACTTCTGAGTGCAGGGACAGAAATGACCTGGATATCGCCAAGGTTTGTAAGCACCAGAAGCCCATTCTCACTGTAATCTTCCACTCGATTGCTGCTGAAGCTGGCCACGGATACTTTCCGCACGCGGGACCCTTCAACTGCTGTCAGTTTCAGCTTGTTCTTTGTGCTGACTTTTGGTAGAGTGAATATCTGCCAGAGTGAGTGAAGCTTAATGATAGCAATTCATAGCTGCACCAGTCTTAACTACTCATACAGGACAGATGAAAGGGGTGATTGGGTAACTGTAGGGCACAGGAATTTTGACTAATGCCCAGAACCTTCAATCAGCTATCAAAAGACAATAAAGCATTAAAAGATTACAATGCTGGCGTGGGCAGAGGGACAGAGAAGAGAGAGCGTGCGAGAAAAAAAAAGCATGAGGAGAGAGAAGAGAAATGATACTCAGGGGTGGGGGGGTGGGGGAAGCAGGGAGGAACAGATGTCCCAGGGTTACAATAGTCATTGAAGAAACTGAACAATCATAGGATTACTGAACAGCTTGGACAAAGGAAGTGATGGTGTGAATAACTCGGGCGCAAGTGGCTTATTTATTTTTAAACATTCATCCATGGGATGTGGGCATTGCTGACAAGGCCAGAATTTACTGTCTATCCTGGATTCCCTAGAGGATGCACTAGTGAGCTGTTTTCTTGAACCACTGCAGGTGATGTTAGAAGGTAGAGAGCGAGATCGACAGCACAATTAGGAAGGGGGCTCCAAGACTTTGTATCACCATTTCTTCACTCAGTGCTGGGACTAGTTCAAGTCAGGATGGTTGTCTGATATGGACGGGAACTTGCAAACAGTAGTGCTCCATGCATCTGCTAACATTGCCTTTCTATGCAGTAAAGATCACTGGTTTGGAAAGTGGTGGCAGAGAAGTCTTAAGTTGTTGCAGTACATCTTGTACATTGCACAAACTGCTGCCACTTTGTGATGGAAGGGAGTAAATGCTGACAATGGATAGGGTGCCAGTTACATGGGCTGCTTTGTCCTGGATGATATCAAGCTTCAAGTGTTATTGGAGCTGCACTCATCCAGACAAGGGAGACTATAGCATCACATTCCTGACCTGGGCCTTGTAGATGGCATCAAGAAGCAAGATACTCACCAGATTTTCTAGTCTCTGACCTGCTGTTGTAGCCACAGTATGTACATGGCTGCAATAGTTCAGTTTATGGTCACTGTTAACCCCCAGAAGGTTCATGGATGATTAAGCAATACTAATGCTATTGAAGTGTTAAGGGGCAATGGGTAGATTCTCTCATTGGAGATGGTCATTGTCTGGCACTTGTGGCACATATGCTTTACTTGTCTTTGCACCAATGTGGTATGCTTTCCTACCAGAGCATTGGGATATTTGTGGAGCCGCCACCTCCTGTTAGATGTTGAACATCATTCACGACTGGAAACGGCAGAACTGATCTGATGGTCTTGGAGCTATTTATTGGATGGGCACACAAGACACCTTAGGCTGTAACTTAATCAGGATAACATCTCATAGTTATGCTTACTCTTGCTCTTGGCATACTCTCTTTCTTCATTAAACCAGGGTTTACACTCAGGTGAACCGCAACGATAGAGAGGGGGAGGTACAGAGGGAGGTTACAGGTTGTGTTCAAATATAATTCTGTGGCTGCTCGTGGCCTACAGTACCCTATGGATGCTCAGTTGAATTGAGACATCAGCTCAAAATCTATCCCATTTAGCACAGTGGTAATGCCACCCAACACCATGGAAGATAGTCAAGGTGAAGACAGGACTTCATTCCCACAAGGAGCATGCAGTGGTCATTGCTACCATTTTGGTCATGGGTGGACGTACATGGTGTGGGAGGATGACAGGAGGGTGCGAGGGGAAGTGATCAGCTGGGGGTTTCCTGGTCTGTGCTTGACTGATGCTGTAACACCATGGGTCCATAGTCAATGTTAAAAGGACTCCCAGAGCAAGTGCATCCCAATTGTACATCACTGTGCTGTCACTTTCAGTGGCTCTCTGTCTTGCTGGTGAGATAGGGCATAACTGGGATGGGGTTAATATCTAGGATACTATTTGTAAGACATGATTCCAGAACTGTGTCTTTGTCATGCTGTTGCTTGACTAGTAACTCAAATTTTGGCACTAGCTCTCAAAAGTTAGTAAAGAGGGCTTTGCACGGCCATGAGGGCTGTGTTAGCCACCTAGGCCAATGCCTACTGTCTTGCCTTTTTAGACTTTGTTTGATACAGCTGAAATGACCTAGCAAGCCAGAGGGCATTTAAACATCAATCGCAGTGGAGAGTCTGGTCACATCTTGGTTATGGTGTTCTTGAAAAAGTTGGAGAGAAGAAGTGTGTTCACTAACATGGCAGATTAAAAGAAAAAGACCAAACAATTTACTCTCCATGGTACTGTTTGTGGGATTGACCTAATTACCTTGAACTGCTCCTCAGATATAACCAGCAGCATGTGGTTCCCATGCATGTCTGGGCTCTTAGAAAGGTCATGTGCTGCCTCTAGTGGTTCAGGGAGGAGGATTCCTCGACCATCCAGAATAAAGATCCCAACCACAGGAGCTCTGTGCATTAACTGGATTTCCTTTACTGTAAAGATAATGGAATATGTTAACACAATGTGAAAGTGAAATAATTAAACACCATTAGAACACAATTCTATCTCAATCCAATGTTATGGCTATGAAACTAGTAGTTTTCTGTTGCATGTAATTACAAGCAAATTGCCCTCCTTTGTTGTTTAATTTCTCACACCTCAGAATTCACGCTGCCAAAAATTTAGTATCTCTTCATTCTTTCCCAAAAAAGATTTTGTAATGCTCTCTCATCCATCAGATAAAGGATCCTAAAGATTCAATTGTGCCTGTCAGCAGGGATTGTATTGCAAAAATGTGTCAGTTAGGATCAGCAGCAGATAAACTTAGCCAAACAATAGATTTTACACGTTGGTTTATGTCAATAACAAAGAAAAAGGATCTATACCAAAAGTCTGATCTCTAACCCATTTTAGAAACATGATGGATAACAGATGGAGGGATCAGGTGGGCTTCCCACACTGAACTGTCAAAGGCAGGTATGGTTTGCCGAGAGAATGGACATAGTAAATTCAGTACTGCCGCTCTGATGTTCAAAAGGGTCTCGACTCTAACTGAAGTGGAAGGCTGAGACCTACAATGAACCGACTGTTTCAAAACATCTTTGATCAGATAAGTAAAACCCATCTGGCTCAAACAAACAATTGCTTTGCCCCTTCAGGGTGGCATGGTGGGAGTGTGGTTCACATTGTTGCCTCAATGCCAGGAAGACTGGTTCAATTCCACCCTCAGGCAATTGCATGTGAAGTTTGCATATTGTCCTCATGTCTGTGTGGACTTCTGCTGGGTATTTCAGTTGCCCCTCAGTCCAAAAAATGTGCAGGTTAGGTAGATTGGTCATGCTAAATTGCCTTGTGGTGTCCAGACGAGGTGGATTAGCCATGGAGGCTCAGGGGATTGGTGTAGATTCGATAGGCCGAATGACCTCAATCTGAACTGTCATGATTCTATGACGCAGCTGATTGACTTCATCTCACAGAAAGGGAGGACAGATAGTATTGAATTCTTTATGCATCATTATAAATAAATACAATCAGACCTTGAGTTTCTCCAATATCTGCAGTAGTGGACTTTTGTTCCACTAGGAATGCTGTTTGTTTTATCATATACATTCAGAAATTGCTATTGTTTCTAGGATTACTTGGTTGCAAATAAAGTAATTTTCAACAAGTTTTTTTTTTTTAAAAAAAATAGTTCTGCATAGTGTGACAGTCAAAACCAAAAAAAAAGTGGGATAATTTGTAGATTTAGCTACCCAGCAGAACCTTGAACTGACCATTCCTTCTGGGCGAGCTGAGACAGCGTTGGATAGTTTAGAGCCTTGCAACAAATCCCAGTTGTCTTAATGACTACTTGTAGTACTGAATGCACTTCACAGGATAGATATTAGAAGCAGAAGCTTTGAGTGATTGTTCTTCAATCTGTGGTAGTCCACAGAAGAACAGCCAGTTCTGCATAGAATGTGAGCCAACGGCAAGACTCAGGACTACTGTATTCGTAGTCTAAGGCTGCCTGAGCTGTGGGAGGCTGCACAAATAGAGTGTGTCAAAATGACAAAAAGCAGAGTACTGGAAAGAACATTTACCCCACACACTCCCCTCAGGAGAAGGAGAAGATGCCCAACAAGGCAAGGGAGTAACGTCATTCCAGAGGTTTCTCCATGCAGAATTGAGGAAGGTACTCACCCTGAGTCGCAGTGACTGGCTCTTCCATCCTCCTTTCCACAGGCGGAATGTTAATAGCATATGCAAATATGGTTCCACCATTGGTACCAGCCCACAGTGACGGTCCATGGTAAGATCCTAAAACAAAAAAGTGCAGCTTCAGTATACAGTATTCAACTTAAAATTGAAGATGGAAAATAGTCACCTCCTAATTATTTCGTCTCCAGAAGGCATCAGATTAAGTACCAAAAACATTAATAAGAACATGTGCACAATAGTAGAAGTAGTAATCTTACAACATGGATTGTAAACCCTTTGGGATAGAGAGAAGACCATGAGCAAGACAAAACCAACATATTGATACTACTGAAAATTGGAAATAAAAACCAAGAATGTTCAGCAGGTCTCCAAACTGAAACATTAACCAGTTTCCTCTCCATAGAAACTGCCAGACATGCTGCAAATTTCCAACATTTTTGATTTCATTTCACTAAGTAGGGAATGCACTTTCATGGACATGATGTGTTCCCGACGGATCTTTGCACTGTTTTAATAAAGTAATACATGTACACTTCTATGTGGTGCACATATTCAAGTTTGCAGAAGGCATTCAATTAAGAGACACAGTAAGTTGAGATGAGGAGGAAAGGAAGTCACAAAAAAAGACCAAAGATTGAGTGGTTTAAACCAGAGACCCCCAATTCTGTGCAAGACTGAACACTAGTTTTACTGCGATAGCAAGAACTGCAGATGCTAGAGTCAGAGATAACAAGGTGTGGAGCTGGAGGAACACAGCAGGCCAGGCAGCATCAGAGGAATAAGAAAGCTGATGTTTTGGGTCAGGACCCTTCTTCAGAAATGTTGTACTGCATTTTTTTTTTTGAGCATGACAAACTCCTTACATGATGCGCTCCAAAATTATCAAAATAATAGATTGGGCTTAAGGGGTCTAACGAAAACAAAAGACAACTTACGGAATATTGCACTTCACTGAAACAGAAATAAACTTCAATTTAAAATATATGGTTATTAATCACCAGGATTAACAGCTGTTAATATTCACTCACCATCTCTTACAAAAGAATCTGCAAAATAAAGTGATCGAACAAATCCAGTAAAGGAATCTTCAGCGGATCGAGCCTCAATTCTGCGCTGCACCGGGGCCAACTCCATCTCATTTAATGCCTCCCGGTCCATCCTAGCATTGGCCTCCTGTACCTAGCAAGAGACACACATACAGAGAGAGCGTGAGCAAGATCAGTGACAACACACAAAAGTGTAACATGTACATATCAATACAAAACCTGCAAGATCATAGCACCATAACTATTCAGTGCAAGCCATTTAGCCCATTAAGCCTGCTCAATGAGATGTGGCTGATTGTGACCTAAACTCAATTGAGTGTTCACCTCAACTTCCTTGATGATCAAAAATCGCTCCTCTCCAACTGAGCCTTGAATAAGTGCAACGATCCAGCCTCTATTGCTCACGAGAATGGAATTCCAAAGACTCAAAAGATCCTTAGCAGAAGAAATTCCTCAGCTCAGGGTAGCACGGTGGCACAGTGGTGAGCACTGCTGCCTCACAGCACCAAGGCCCTGGGTTCAATTCCACCCTCGGACAACTGTGTGTGGACTTTGCACATTCTCCCCGCGTCTGTGTGGGTTTCCTCCCACAGTCTAAAGATGTGCAGGCTAGGTGGATTGGCCGTGCTAAATTATCCACAGTGTTCAGGGATGTGTAGATTAGGTAGGTTATGCGGGGATGGATCTGGGTGGGATGCTCTGAGGGTCACTGTAGACTTGTTGGACTGAAGGGCCTGTTTCCACACTGTAGGGATTCTATGATCCTATCTCCATCTCAAGTGGAAGATGGAATTTTTGCCACCTCATGCGAGATCTCAAAGAGCAAACACCCTTCCCAGCATCCAGGCTGTCAACTCTCTCAGAATTTTATGTTTTAATAACATCACTTATTCTTCTAAATTACTTAGAGTATGAGCCCAACCTACTCAAATCTCTTCTGAACCTTTCATCCCGAAACTTGGCCTCACAAATTACTTTCAGTACAAGTAAATCTCTCAAGTAAGGAAACCAAAACTGTATCCCAAGTGTGACCTCAAAGCTCAATACAGTCATAGCAAGACATGCCTACTTTTATAGTCCATCCCTTTGCAAGAAAGGTCAACACTCAATTTGCCTTCCTAATTACTTGCAGTATCCATATGCTAACTTTTTATGAATCATGTACAAGGAAACCCAGATCCTTCTGAATCAGAGTATTCTGCAGTCTCTCCCCATTTGGGTAATATTGTGCTTCTCTGCCAAGCTTAACCTCACCTTTTCTCCACATGTACTAACATTATATCCAACTTAGCTATATCCCTTTGCTGATTCTAGCTAGCCTTCTCATATACAGCACTGCTACTTAATTTGCCATCAGAAAATTTAGCTACAGTACTGTCCAAGTCCCTTGGTCTAAGCCTCCATCTAGGTTCCCACCTAAGGAGTGACAAACCTAAAAATTAGGTGTTAGCCTGGTGATGGTACAACACAGGATTACTTACATACTAAACAGCACAGATCAGCAAGGCAGAGGCATATCAAAGCCATTCCACAGCAAATGGATCAGATCTAAGCTGTGCAGTCTGCCACTGAGTCATGAATGGCAGTTGACAATTAAGTAACATACTGGAGGAGGCAGCAATTATACCAATCCTTTGGTGATGAGGGAGTCCAGTGCATCAGTGCAAAAGACAAGGTTGAAGCATTCGCAACAATCTTCAGCCAGAAATTACAAGCATGATGATCCATCTCAGCCTCTTCCAGAGGTCCCCAACATCGAACATGCCTGTTTTTCACTCCACATGATAAAGAAAACAGGGCTACTGTGCCTGAATATTCTAGAAACAGTACAGAAGACTTGTGCTCCAGAACATGCCATACCCCTAGCCAAGTTATTCTAGTACAGCTACAGGACTGGCGTCTAGCTCATAAAAAAGGGAGATAATTCCCCAGGAATGTCCTGTATCCAAAAAGCAGGACAAAACCAATCCAAGCCAATTACTGTCCCATTAGTTTACTCCCAATCATTGGTAAAGTGATGGAAGGTGTCATCAAGCAGTGCCTGCTCAGCATTGCCATTTTGGATTCTACCTGGGCCACTTAGCTCCTGACTTCATTGCATCCTTGGTTGAAACACAGGCAAAAAAAAAAAAAAAAA